AGCCGCCGCCGCCGCCTGCCGGGGCATGTCGTGGACGCCAGCCGAGACGAACGCGCTCATCGCAGTGTGGGGCAACGAGCGGCTGGTGGAGGCGCGGTACCAGCAGCTGGAGGGAGCCGGCACGGTGTTCGGCAGCAAGGCCCCTGGGCCAGCCATGTACGAGCGCGTGTCCCGGGCCCTGGCCGAGCTGGGCTACGAGCGGACCCCGTCCCAGTGCCGGGAGCGCATCAAGGTAACCGGCCGCCCTGCTTGGGGCAGCGAACCAGAGGCAGAGAGAAGGCGGGGAGCGGGCCTCGGGGGCGGGGGCCAGTCTGAGCGCAGTGCTCCCCTCCGGGGCCCGGTGGGCAATTCGATCTCCTCCGCCTTTTTCTTCTCTCCCTGGGAAGGGGGCTTTTTTCCAGATGGCCGCCAGCCCGTAGGTTTCCTGAGTTTGAAGTTGGGCGTGCCTGCCGCCGCCCCTCTTTCTTGCCAATTGAGGATGTTCCTGCGCTCTGAAGTTGGTAGTTTCTCATTGTGCGCCCGTGTGGCAGTTCCAGTGCCGCTGGCGCGTCTCGCCCCCACTGCCCGGGCCCCTCGCTTTGTTCCGGGCGGAGTGGCTCCCAGGCAGAGGCTTACTGGCCGGGGCAGGATTGAGGAAGGGCATGGGGTGGGGGCGTTGAGCCCCCAGTTTAGGAATTTTTAATAAGTGGCCGTGGTGGAGCCTTACAAAAAGCGATTTGGGACGACTGTCCTTTGTGTCAGTCGCTTTGCTTCTGACTTGAGCTAAGAAGGACGAGTAAGACTTGAGATGCTTTGGAGAATTGGAAAGGCTTGATTGTAGCTAGGTTGTGTATTGTTATCGTGGAGTTAGTGGGCACCATAAAAGTTAGACTGGCCAGGAGTTGGTCTGGAATTTGGATTGTCGGTGCCTCCAGAGTTAGATTGGCTTGAGGCCCTGCTGTTTCTGATGAAGCTCCTTCATAAAAGCCAGGTTTTTCCCTGCCTTAGTTACTGTGCCGGATGTGGTGACTAGTAGAACTCTCAGTGTGCATCTGGCCATCGTTGTGTATCTGCATGTTCAATGTAGAGGCTTACTTTGGGCTAGACATTTTACCACCAGCCGGATTAGGATTATTATTTTGATGTTTGTATTGACTTTTATCTTAAGCATTCACGTGTACTATTGGCAGAACTAGAGTTGTATTTTAGTTAAGGTCTTTCCCACATCATAGTGTCTGTTAATAAAGATTCGGGTAGGATTCTCCCAGTTTTCACCCTACTACTTCTACTACTTAGTTACAGCATCTGTATGCTTTTCTGGTAGGGCTGGCACTTTTTCTGGGAATTCCTTGAGGGTAAAAACCACTAAGAACAATAGGTAAGAATAATCACGCTAAAATATGATCATAAAACCCGGTAGGAACAATAATAAATAAGAGTAAGCATACTAAAGGAGGGAGATTACGCCCAAATTTAAGGGAACTTTTCTCCAATAGTGTTTTATTTGGGGACCTTGTTGGTTAGAAAATTTGGTCCAGGCCGGGCTCGGTGGCTGAGCCTGTAATCCCAGCACTTTGGGTGGTCGAGGCGAGTGGATTGCCTGCGCCCACGGGTTCGAGACCCGCCCGGGCAACTTGGCGAGACCTCGTCTCTACAATAAATAAAAAATTAACCAGGCGTGGTAGCGCGCACCTAGTTCTGGCTACTTGGAAGGCTGAGGTGGAAGGATCGCCGGAGCCTAGCAGGTCGAGGCTGCGGTGGCCTGGAGAGTGCCTCTGCACTCCAGTCTGGGTGACAGAGTGAAACACCAACTCAAGAAAAAAGAAAATTTGGTCCAGAAACCAAGATATTTCATACCTATTGTTCCAGGAATTTGACACCATTACTCAGTTACAAAATTAAATTAGTTTATTTGATACCATGTACCTTTGAGGCTTCTTAAACTCCCTCCTTAAGAAAAAAATTTTTTAAAGGATATCATTAAAGTACTACCAAATAGTAAAAAGCTGTACTGTTGTCTGAATCTCATTCATTGATCTGCACAAAGTCAGTAAGGTTTTTGTACTGTCCTGGGTTGCATCTATCCATAAGCTTTTCTTGAGTTTAGAAGTGCACCTTAGACATTTATAACTGCTTGAGCTTGATGATTTCTGTCCATAGGAATTTCCCAATTACACAGAAATAGTGTGTTATTAAAACCTCACTGAATATAAATTTCTCTATAAAATCGTTTCTCAACCAGGGAATATCTACTTGGTTTGCTTCATTGTTCAGTTATAAGAATGATGATCTAACAGGAGGAAAGGCTATTGACTTTCTCTGAAGGATTTTAAAAAGTGAATAGGTTTAACTGTTTACAAGTTGACCTCAAGCTCTTAGACTATTTCGAAAACATGCAGATGATGATGAGTTCTCTGTTTCCTAACAGCAGTTAGCAGGAGGACAGATAATTGTTTTGTAAAGTGCTCCATTCTTTGTGTGATGTCAATCAAGGAACCCAGACTATTTTATCTATAATGTTGATCTTTCTTGCCAGTATGATAAGCTCTTTAAGCACAGATTCTGGTCTCTTTTACTCACTGCTATACTAGCATATAGTAGGCACTGAATACATATTTATTAAAGTCACCAAATAAAGTCTAGAAATAATTTTGGAAGGTATAAAAATCTGCAGCAGTGTTATTCAAACTTTAACTCAAAAACATAGACTTGGAACCCATTTGAAAAATACTACATTAGGAACTAAGTTTTGTCCCTTTAAGAGACTTAGTGTTTTGTAATCTTAAGTTCAGAAGCAAAGGTGGTCACTGAAATTATAAACATGTGCACTTATGAGGTGGATATCCAAGTAACCCAGATTATGCTTATGAAAATAAAAATACAACCTTAAATTCTCAGAGAATCTCAGAGCTCTGAAAACAAATTCTTAGATCCCAGTTTCAGAAATGACAATTTAAAACAGTAATGCCAAAATCTTTCACTTTATTATGTTAATGAGAACTGCAAAATGAAATTCAGTAATACTTTTGCTTGAGATTTTGCAGAATAGAAACAAAGTAGTTCACTAAGATGTAGAAAATGCAGAACTTCTTGTACAGACTAATGTAAATGTGAACTCAATGTCACAGACTCAAGGAGAAGTAACATCATGTGAGTCAGTTACATTTCTGGTCTAATATATTTGAAATTCGATGAGCCAGGTGCGGTAGTGCAAGTCTATAGTCCCAGCTTCTTGGAAGGCTGAGACAGAAGGATTGTGTGAGTCCAGAAGTTTCAGGCTGCAGTGAGTTATCATCAAGCCACTGCACTCCAGCCTAGGCAACAGGCTGTCTCTAAAAATAAAACAACAACAAAAAAAATCAATTATGAAAACTCAATAATTCTTCTATTTTAAAAGGAAGAGGTATATAGTAACTTCAGTTTTTCCTGCAAACCTCCCTTTAGTCAGATAGTTTCAACGTGTTGATGTTGCAGCCTTTACCTCATTGTATAAAGGATTAGAAAGCTAAGTGAGTCCTGTCCCAGCCTCTTCCTGAGTAACCTTAAAGCACATCATGTACCTTCTCTGGATTGTACTTCAGTCCTTTTATCTATACAGTGAACATGTTAAAATCGTAAATATTGTAAACTCTCGAATTTTGAGACTAAAGCCTTTTTAAAATACTTTGCAAATGAATATATTTCTAAGCACACAAGATTTTAAGTTAAGTTAGATACAAACATTTGCTTATTGCTGCAGAGAGTTTCATTTTGATGTCTGTTATGTTATTGGTATTCTATCATTTGGATAAAATGGATATGTTTGAGATTGCCTTGCTATACAGATTATTTATTCCGAAATTTTGTTGCTCTTTTGTTTGTTTGCCAGAAGAAAATTTGTCTGCTAACAATTCTAGCCTAATTCCAGATAAACAAATCCAGGTGGTTCTTTGTCTAGTGATTATTGCATGATTTTCTTCCTTTTCTATAAGGCCTTTTCTTCATATCTCCATTAACCAAGTACTTGTGTGCCTGATATTGTAGGGCTATCTACTAGGTGTTAGAACAAATAAAAGAACTGTAGCTTTAAAAGAAAAAATGAAAGAAAGGAAAAAAGAACTGTAACATATAGTTCCTGTAGTCCAAGAGCTTACAATCCAGTGGAAGCTTATATACATACACCAGCGAGCTAAAAAGCTAGACAACACAAGGGATGGTATGCAAGGCGGCGGTACTTGATTAAGTGTCATATACCTAAAGCAGACCATAAGTGTAATGACTTCAAAGGAGAAACGATCTCATCACCATCCGTACTGTAGTAGTTGAGAGATCTATCTCAGACTTGGAATTCATGGAAACAGTCACTTCTGAGCCAGATGCTGCATTCACACTTAAGTCAGTTAATCTGATGCACTGCAAAACTCATTCTCAAGTCCCATATTTTTGGGTGTTCTCCAAAAATTTGCCTCTTGAGAGTTGGCTTTATGTCTTTGAAACAGATGTGTACTTCTAGCTCTGCCTGAAGATGAAATGCAAGGTGATTGTATGTGACCTAAAAAACTTGCCTTTGCCAGGTTGGTGCTGGTTGCTCATCAGACATACTTAAAATGGTAGAGTCTTCTGCTCATCAAGCAAAATGATTAATTTTCTAGGAGCATTGCTTAGATTTATTTGTCAGTAATTGTCTTCATCTTTGGAACAAATGTACTTTAGCAGACAAATCACAATATAGCATATTTGATGTTTTATTTTAGCTATCAGGCCTTGTCATTCTTTGTAAGAACCAATAGAGCAATGGTGGCTTGGAGCCAGAAGATACCTTTGCCCCTGGATAAGCATTTTAATAGAATATTCCCATCTCTGAGGACATTTCTTTGGTGTTTGCAGACAAGATTTTTCTTCTGCATTATCACTGAAAAATTTCCAAGAAATATGGCAGGCCACTCAAATAGTTCATAAGAAAGATTTAGTCAGATTTGTTTCCTATCTTTTTTACATATTCAGCTTTTTGGGGTGATGGAAATGTTCTGCATCTATTGGTTCACATGTGGCTATTGGCCCTTGATAGTGTCTGAGGAATGAACTTTTAAGTTATATTTCATTTTAATTTAATTTTAAGTTATGAATAACCACATGTGACTAGCAGCTACCATACTGAACAGTGTAAGGTACAAACTTATTATTCATGATATTAAACCTTTATTTTATAAAAGGAGTCTCTTGGCCACATACTGCAACCTCTAGTGGGAGCTCAAAGTTTCTTCTTCTTACTCT